ACAAGTCATTCAGTGTTTCATTTTGTAAAGGTCTACTCTGGGTGGAGCACGGCTTTTCAATACAGCCTAGAGATCCAAATGCATTGTCATTTTTTAAAAATGTATTCATAAATATAGATTAATTTTACCCTTGCGCAGAACACTGAAGTTAATTTTATTTTATTTGTTCCTCAAGGCTGTTATCACCTCTAACGGAGTACTCACCCCAAAGTTTGAATACATTGAAAAACTTCGAGAAAGAAGGTAAGACTGATTTTAGACTGGAACCGTGAGTTTAACATTCAATATGATATCTGTACTGAAATGTTGGTGTCGAGTGTATGTTTTAAATTGAAGTCTTGGTAAAAGGTTTAGTATTTGTATTTGGAGATACTTATGTGTTTCAGCATATTTCTAATTTAAAATGTAAATAAAAACTGTCCAAAAATTGCTTTGGTACACACCTGTTCCATTTGCGAGTTAATGCAACCAATCTAAGGATAAAATGTCTAAAGATTACGAGACAGGTAACATTTATAAGTCATTCTTACGCTGTAATAGCTCACCTGTACTAACTTTCTAAACTGTAGAGGTTGTCAGTCACAGTAAGTAGTTAGGATTAGTAATATTTGTGCTTTGTAGTCTCCTGTTTTTTGCTGTTGCACTCCTTAACTCAACCTTTTCAGCATTGCAGTTTGTGATGTTGTAGCGTTGTCCAACCAGCAGTGCTGAAAGCTGGACGCACAGCGACTAACCATCACCTTGTGATTGTTCCTGCGTAGTGCTGCCCTCTGGTGTCTGCTGTGTCTGCATTAACACCTGCATGGCTAGCGTTCTAGTAGGCCATCGTTGCTAGCCAACTGCAGAAGCTGGAGTTTTCCCTTGGGCATCGAGCGGTAGAAACATCTTTTCTTCTCACTTTACACAAAAACCGCCATCACCCATTGTGTCGCATCTGTCCGTCTTCTTTCATTTCGTTTTGGCATGTAGTTAAGTTTGCAGTCAGACGAGAAGTTGAATACTAATTTCATTTCTGTACATCTACGACAGAGATAAGTCCAAGACATTTAATGTAGCTTAGTTAAAAAATTCAAAGTGGGGTAAAACTGACATTTTTAGCCTTCCCTGCGATACATACCAACGTACTGACATTATCGTTGTGGGCTTGTCAGCACACAGATTTAAGCTTTTGTTACTGTTTATGGCAGCATTACAAATCTATTTACTGAACTGTACTCTTTAAATGTTGTCTCTCAGGTTAATGTATCAGTTACATCTCTAGCTAACAGATATGGGTTCTTTAGCAACTGAAGGTGGGTGTTGTGGAGTTGGGAAATCAAATAGGGAACAAATTTCGAAAGCAAAAAGGTTGCATCAGAACCTTAAAACCTTACATAAACATAACCTGTTGCCTCATGTCTGTCTGTCTAATTTGAATTAATAGTAGAGTCGGGCAGTATGGCTGAAATTCTTACCACACAAAAATACTTAATACTATAAATATTTATGGTCTTTAAGGTCCTGTTTTTAATGGAGAGTGTGGAGAAAGATAGTCTGAATTTAACCACCTATGCTTTGAAATTTTATGTTTAACACAACAATGCAAAATGCACAATTTACACACATAGATAAAATTAAAAAAGGATAAAGGAATTATCTCCCCTTGTTGCACATTAAATAAATAAAGCAGGTAAAATCATCAGTCAAATGCGATAAGTACACATGCTTAAAGATACTCTTGACCTCTGGTACCTGGAGTACACAAAGGATGACTAGTGCCACTCCTCGCTACAGTTAAGGTCCCAAATGGCTGAGCCGGACTGAACAGGGATCCTGCTCTGACTTTGGGTACACCTAGGTGTGTCACTTAGGCAGAGGTAGCAAGGGACCCAAACTGACAGTGTTAGACCACAAAGCCCTGCAACGGAAGCTGTCCACTGGCTGCATTCTCCACCACTGGAGGTTTGCAGGTGTGGATGGGGGGTGACGAGGGCCAGGCTTTAAAAGCAGATTAGCACACCTTGGGAAACCTGCACAGAAAGCCATCGGGAACAAAGATGGAGGCTTATTGTTGATAAGTATGAAAAAGCTGTTTATTAGAGCACACTTGGGATTTGTTCATGCTGCTGAACTGCCCCCATCAAGTCTTAGCTTGCTGTCATCGGGAATTATTACATATCTTATAATACAAACATAAGGTTTTAATAGAAGCAAGGCTAGCAGCTTTTTTTGCTAAGTCAGGAGTCTTAGGCTGATTTCTGTGATAGATTTACAGAGATAACATTGAACTTCTCCTCTGACTTGTGTAGAACAGAAAACGAAATTCTCCAAAATCAGACCATTTAAAAACGATTCATCTGCATGGTTTGATTTACTGGTAATCTGTGAAATCCCCATCAACTTTCAGTTTTTTCAGTATTATCCTTTAAATCTGCTTTGATTATTTTCTCAGGCTACATTTGTTGATTGATGACACAGTCTGCATATTTTACAGCCCTCTCAGCTTCTCTGGACCTTCAGTCCTTCATCCACTTAATAACATTTTAATGTCCTGGTCAAATCTGTTGTGACTCCACAACCCTCAGTAGTAATGCTATTTGCTTCTGTAGATCATTAACAGAGTCATAATCAGGCTCAAGGCAGCTTTGCTCTTCAGTGGCTCCGTGAACAGCTTGGCTAAAGAGATTTCAGCCTCTTCTTGAGAGTCAAGCCTGAGTGTTATTCACACTGAGGCGTTCTGCTCGCTCATATTTAGGCCACCTCTAAGACTTGATGAGTTTTCTTTCTAATTGATCCTAAGTATCATTTTTTTTTCCAGACAAGCCATGCCACCAAAATCTTAATCCTTTTGATTAAGTTTGGCTCCTTAAGATATGTAAACTCGGGAGAAATCCTCCTGAGGGAACGTCTATCTTTTCTTTTTAATTAAGAAGACGAGTGCCAAGCAGACCTCCAGTCAGTCCCACTGCGACTCATGCATGTGTGCGGTGTCGCAACCAATTAGACCAGAGCTAACGAGTCCACGGGTCTGACTCCTGGGGATTTGAGTTGGGGGTTGGTGGTGTTGGTGGTGGGATATTAATGCCACAGGTCACCCCGGGTGATGCCTCTTTTCTATATTAATGCTGATGTTGTTGTTGTTGATTGGATGCTAAGATAATCCAGCATGCAAAACCACACTTTTTTACTGAATCAAGTTATCTGGAGAAGAACTCTCTTTAACCCTTTAGAGGCTGCTTGCGAACATGCATAAACTGCCTTTGTATTGTCACTGCTGTTTATGTAAATATGTTTCAGTACTTTCTGAGTACTGAATGTACCGTTGCGGTCGCTGCCAGCTTCTTGACAGTATAAACAGAAAACAGAAATTGGCAGTGAATATGTGGCCAGATTCTAAAAGTCTTATTCTTTGATGTCTAATTTAATTACCACTTTATCAATATTTTATGCAGTAAAAGTTACTACAACTATCGACTAGAGCCCTGATCCTTATATAATGTCTGATATAATAATGAGCAATACGTGTAGAAATAAACTAATGGGTAAGTATTGATGAGGGTATGTCTTTAATACTTAAATGGTTGTTAATTATCATTTTAATAATACTTTTAGATCACAAGAATTTTTCATTTTTAAAACGAATGAATGTATTAACATGCATGTTAACTAACGTTACAGTTAAACATCTAACAAAAAAGCGAGTTAAATATTTCATGTTAATATGTAATATGTATATACTCATGTTTATTGCACATGAGACTTTTTTTTTTTTTTTTACATATGCATAAATGTGATTTCCAAATATTTTCCATCAGATGGAATGCACCTTCTGTGAAACCAGCAACTTCACATTTATCATCTCATTAGATATAAAAAAATACATAAAATAGGCATTCCACTCAGCCATGGCACTAGTGTATAGTTTCTGACTAATAAAAGAATTCTGACAAAATAACTCACAAATACATAAAATGTTTAATTTCATTTTTACAATTTCCCTTTGATGATCGTCTCCCCATTGACTGTGTCCGCCCCTCCCTGCTGGCTGGCACCCTCCTGGTTAAGTCCAGAGCCTCATGGAAAAAGTTTTGTTTGCTAAGTTTTGCTGCCACTTTGACTTTTTACACATTGCATTGTTAGAATGAGGACATTTACATACGCCGTTCTGAGATCCCAACAGGCAAATATTAGCCTATTCATTAGACAAAGACAGAAATATCCCTATCTGTAAAATAGGACCCATCATTTAAATCATCAAAGCTGTGGGGAAATATAAAATTGTTCCATGCATTTTACATACATTCTTCTTCATTCATCAGTGAAAAGATCACTTTATTGTGCTAGATTTCTCCTCTATGTTTGCATTTTTACTAGTGTCATGGACATTTCCTTCACTGTTTCCAGATAAGTAATGATCTGCACTTCCAATGTTTCTCATTCATCCATTCACACACACATTCAAACACCAATGGTGACAGAGCTACCATGCAAGGTGCTGCCTGCTATTGGGAGCAACTTCGGGTTCAGTGTCTTGCCCAACACTTCGACTGTGGAGAGACGGGGGGTTGAACCGGCAACCTTGCGATTAGAGGACAACCCGCTTGACCACATGAGCCACAGCCGCTCAGATACGGCAGCGTTCTGCTATGATTTGGCAGGAAAAAAACATACATTGAGGAAGGAATTTATTTTTCCCCTTAGTGTAGTTTCCACCTGTGCAAAAACTAATGGTTCACAGGTTTTCAAATTGCGTGCTTATTATTGATCAGAATTTGTGCCAAAAAATTGAATAAGTTACTTATAAAAACCCATATTGTATACACAGCTTGCTTGGATTCACTGTGAGCTAGAATCATACGCGTAATTCCCAGCATAGTTTACTTGTTTCTAGAAAAAGTGTGCATGTTTTCATGTACAGGAAGACTGTTGCCGTTGAATTATCACAAAGATATATATTTTTTTAAATTTACATGTGCCACCACTGTCTGACATTCTGACTTAACTTCCTAAACAAGGAACAAATAGTCTGTCATGTTGACTATTTTCTTGTCATCCAAAGTTATACATTTGTAAGAATGAAAAGACAATTTTGACATTGAATGCAGACTACAATAGTTCTGTACGGGTAGCTTGCTGATGTAAAATAAACTGCGTAACGACTCAAGGCTGAGTGGCTGGAATGTTTTGGCCAGAAAGGCTGTAACACCAGTTGATAACTTGACTAGTTCTCTTCCAGTCATCTAGTTTTAAGAACCAGGTGGAAGGGAAACATTCTGATAAAATCTCCTCAGCATTGTGAACAGAATTAGAAGCAGAGTTGAACAAACTCTCCTGGATTTTTGTTACTAGATAAATAAGGATGAAATTTGTTGAAAATAGTGAAATGGAGCCTTAATGACGCAGCTGACTCTCCAACAACTGTTGTCTCTAACAAAGGATTTACCTGAGGATGAGATTTCAGTTTCTAAAATGTCTTATGACATAAAATCCTTTTTTTTCTGCGGTGCTTCCATCTTTTGAAACTCCCTTTTTGTCCAGTGTTTTCAAAGTGTGTGTGGTTTAGGGTTTCACATCCCCACCTGTTAGGTGGAAACAGCCACTAAGCTCCACTGAAGTATTACTAAGGTGGTTTTCTAACTGCATGTCTGATGTCCTTCAGGGAGAAGGCTGAAATCATGAAAAAGACCGGCATGAAGCGAGTTCTGCTGCTCGGCTCAGGATATGTCTCTGGGCCTGTTGTTGAGTATCTGACCCGTGATGAGAAGACTCAGGTCACTGTAGGTGAGTTTGTCATCCAAACCTGAGCACCTTTACCCCTGCCACTCCTCCTGCCACCAGGGCTTTTAGAATCATGGTAAAGTGAACCTTTATTACAGCATTTGAGCTGACAAATTGAAAAACACATTCTGGGGACATGTAAGACTGTCATTGATTTTCTAAAAAAAGAGCACAATATGGGACCTTTCACCAGTACAGGTAGCTGCCTGACGTGTTATTCCTCTCAGACCCTAACTGTATGTGCTTGCTGCTGAAACAAAACCATTGCGAAACTTTTGAGGTTGACAGATTCATACCAGTGTCAATCAGTATACTTGATGCAGTTGACAAGTGCAGTTGTAGTGTGTCCCCCACCTGCCACAAGAGGCAAAAATAAACCCATTTTGCACTCAAAGAATTCTCAAAAATGTGAAATATTCCAGACTACAACCCATTTGTCTTAGATCTTGATGTACAAGTTTAGCCGATCTGCTTCATTGGAGCTGTGCAGGTGTGATTTTATCAGATTTGGTTGACAGCGGACCGTCATCATTAGCAGATAACTTCACATTGTCCTCACATTCTGGCTCAGAGAAAGTGTACAAAGCTAATTAGGAAAGTTATTTTTCAGGGCCTTTACAATTTACTCTGCACCCAAACATTTTGAACTAGTGTAGCTGTGGATAAATGGCTCCTCAGAAGTTAAACCCTCTAAGGCTTAAAGACCTAATGATCTTTCTTTGTTTGCATTTAGCATCAGCGCTACTGAAGCAAGCGGAGGAATTGGCAGCCAAATACCCCAACACTATCCCCATCACGCTGGACGTAAGCAGTCAGGAGGGACACCTCGACTCTCTGGTCAAAGATCATGACCTGGTCATCAGGTACAGCAGCCACTGCATGTTCGACGCGTGCAACCAGCCATCTTTATCCATGGAACTGTCTTTTTAGAGTTTGAAATATTTGAGGGGAGGATAGTTAATTCTCATCAACTCTTATATGATACTGTACTACTAGGTGTTTGTAATGGAAATATTTCCTTATATTTTTATGTTCTCTAAAGTTGCCATTCAATGGAGGCTGTTATTTCGTAGAGTTGTGTGTGATTCACTGACTCAGGTTGTCAGGCTCAGCACTGTTCCATGACACTATCTTAAAATGCATTGATTGAGATTTATTTCACAGTAATATGTCCTAACCTCACCACCTCCCCCTGCTCTTCAGCATGCTGCCTTATGCATTCCATCCACTTGTTGCTAAACACTGCATCAAGAGGAAGGTGAACATGGTGACGGCCAGCTACCTGAGTCCTGCCATGAAGGAGCTACAGAGCAGGTGACAATCCAGTACACTGCAGACAAAGATTTAGCAGGATTTATTAAGATTTAATTTCCATTTTCATTGCATGTATTACAATTTGGGCCCCTTTTTTCATAGGTTTGGTCATCATTCATATCATAAATGAGTATGTACAAATAATACAGTAGTAATTTCGGAAAAATACTGCATTAGACTAGAAATGTCTTGCTTTTGTCACATTTGTTTCACCTCATGTGGTCGACTGACTTTTCTTTCCCAAAAAGCAACATCCATTATGTATCAATCAAATATATTTTACACGCACATTTACATACTAGAGTCTATGAGTGTACAGTCTATATAAGTTAAAGCCACCCTAAATAACACTAATGAGAAGGCATTAGAACACTCAATATACAATAAATGTATGTGTGTGTGTGTGTGTGTGTGTGTGTGTGTGTGTGTGCGCGCGTCTGTCTGTCTGTCAGTGTGGAGGAAGCAGGCATCACCATTGTAAATGAGATGGGACTGGATCCAGGCATCGACCACATGCTGGCCATGGAGTGTATTGATCAGGCCAAAGCTGACGGCTGCATTGTGAGTCAACACGCTGTGTGAGTGTGTGTCAGATAATGAGTGTTTAACACACACGGAAGAGGCTTTATTTTATATTGATCCATTGCACCAACTCACAGTCCACATGTTCCTGTCTGCTGAATGTCACACAGATTTTAGCCCATACACTGGCGACCATCACACAGTCAGACATACAATGAGGAGGGTTTCTTTGGACTGCAGTTCTTTCTTTCCCAAAACCACAATCTGAAAACAACCAGAGAACATTTTAACCTCTTTATGTATCGAGACATGGACCTGACTTGATTCAGGTTCAAACGATAAATTACTGAACAGAAGATTATTGACAGTTTCAGTAAGTCAGAAGAATCATCCATCCATATCTCTGTAATAAATACCGTCCAAGATATATTTGAATAAGTTGTCAAAAGTGTGAAGTGTTCCACTCACTGCATATGTTCGTCACATTTCTTTAACAACCCAATTTAAAATTGTAAATACATTCTTTATCAACAATGTGATGTCAGTTTGAGAAATATGCTACAAAAAGCACAAGTTGTGCATCCAGTCATCCAGTGTGTAAGCACATATTTTGAACCTTCAGATTTCAGACACTTTGAAAATTACCAACTGTATTCTGCTCATTGTCTTGAGAAAGTTTCTAAGAGACCGTTAGTATAAGAAGAAATAAGCGAAGCATATAAATTGTTGTCATTTTCGTTGATTTGACAGATTTTGTTCTTGTTTCATATCTACAGTAAACACACTGGGAGATGCTACAAACTCGTTTTTAATTGTCACTAATAATGTTCTCCATGGCAGCGAAACTCAATATTTACTAATTTTGCCACATTAAAGGTACAAAGGCCCTAAATGCATCGCTCTTTCCAAAGACCATGTTCGACTCTCCATTTCCAAGAATATGTGACGTCACCAACACATAATGTTGTCGTCCTCCAATACGAGACCACTCCTAAAAAATATTGCTGATCAGTGAGTCGAATCACAATGAATTGATATTATTAATATTGTGTTGTTCAGGTGGAATCTTACACCTCGTTCTGTGGTGGTCTTCCTGCTCCTGAGTGCTCAGACAATCCTCTTCGTTACAAGTTTAGCTGGAGTCCTTATGGTGTCCTCCTCAACACCATCAGCCCTGCCATCTTCCTCAGAGACAACCAGGTACAGAAGCCTCAAAGTATTATTATATATTATAAGACCACAGATGATTATTGTTGTGCACTTCTTTCTGTAAATTCTGCTCCTATATTTAAATGCCTTTAGTGAAGAGAAGACACTGGATGAGTATTTGTTTGTGTCTCTTTGAGGTGGTGAGTGTCCCACCTGGTGGGTCTCTGATGGATTCCACAACGCCGATGGATTTCTTTCCAGGTTTCAACCTGGAGGGATTTCCAAATAGGGACAGCACCAAGTACTCTGAGCCGTACGGCATCCAGACAGCACACACTCTAATCAGAGGAACGCTGCGTTTCAAGGTACAACACTAACTCACATGAGCAAGTACAAGCAAGCAAGCACAACTGGCAGATGCTATAAAATAATTGTAGCTGTTTGATATGCATTACGTTAATTTTCTGGTTCACTTGTGTAGTGTGGTTGTTGACTTTTCTACAGTCACCTTTGACAGTTTCTGTGCAGCAGATCAGTTTGGTTAAGAGCTGCGACAAAAAAAATAGATCCTCAGAACTGATCCAGAGAAACTAAGTCAGATTTTACATGTAACAGTTAATCACTTATCAACGTAATTACAGATAAATTTTTCTACTAATTCTTTAATGTTTTTCTAGCTAAAAAGTTATTCAATTCAATTCAATTCAATTTTATTTGTATAGCGCATATTTACAACAACAAGTCATCACATAGCGCTTAACAAAGGCAGAAACAGAAACACCCAACAATCCAAAGCATTTGGATTCCCTATAAGCTTCAGCAGTCCGAAACAGTGGGAAGGAACCAAAAACCCCCGCAGGGGAGGAAAAAACCTCAGACAGAACCAGGCTCAGGGAGGGACGGCCATCTGCCTCGACCGGTTGGGTGGATGTAGGATGAATTATAAAATTTATTTTATTGCATAAAATAAATATGCAATAAATATTGAAACATCTGCGTTTCTTTCATTATTTAAAAAGCAGTAAGTTGTACTTTACTTCCAGGTTTCCTGTCTGAAAACTATAAATCAGATTGCTAAGAGTTTTAATACAGAGTGTAAGATGGGGTCAGAGTGACAATTATTAAATCTCAAACATGTTTGCTTTAGCGACGGTTCTGGGAATACAATGAAAATCAAGCTAAGACAAGTTCTTTCTTTAAATGGAGAGTTCTGGACAAGAAAAAAGCTGACTGAAGTGTTAGGGTGGTATTTTAAATGGGGAGTACATGCAATAAAATGTGATGTGCAAAATGCCTACAACATATTATTTCTAAAAGGAAATACTAACTTCTGATGCCATAGAACAAAATTGCACATTACATCTATTGTTCTTTTTTATTGAGTAAATGTTTTATAAAGGTAATCGTACTTTTGGTCAGAGAGGATCAACTGTTTCCAGTTTCCATGACATAGTTATGTCATACAAGACTTTCCAACTGGGTTTTACGTGCAAAATAAGAGAGGAAAGGTATGACGGTAATGAAGCAGGGTCAAGAAAAGTGAATCACTGTGGATGTGTTTGGCTGTAAATCTAATGTCCAAATCAAGGGTGAAGCTATAAGACACTTCCTGTCTCTGAAAAGTGTTCGTATACAAACATGTTTTTCCTGCCTAAACCTGTAGTGTCTCTCTATCTTGTATTTCTTGTTTTCATTGTGACTCACTTTATCTCCTGGTCTGCTCCACAGGGCTTTTCCAAGGCCATGAGTGGTTTTGTTAAACTGGGTCTAATCAACAGTGAGCCCAGTCCCATCTTGCAGCGCACTTCAGCTCCCGTTTCCTGGGTAGGATCCTCAGCTGAGAATCTTCACAGTGTTTGAAAACATCTAAACACATGTTTGAAAAGCAGCCTCTAAACCAGTGCACCCTGCTTCTTTCTGCACTCATTCAGTTTAATGAAACAAGCTGTTTGGCAGCTCAGCCACTTGAAGCTTCTGACTGGGGAAGTGGGAAGAGTCTATTACTGTCAATAGCTGCTTAACAACATCAAGGGTGCACTAAGCCGAGGCGCTGATGAGAGATGAGAGTTTACCGCAGATAGTGTTCATCATCTTTTATCCTTTTGAGTTGAAAGGGAAACGCATCGCTGCGTGTTCGAGATATGTTTATAAGAAAACAAAAGATGATTGGCAGTTTTAACCCACCCCTTTTATTTTTGAAAACACAGTTTATTTATTTTTGGGGGCACAAGATGTAAAGAGAAGCAGATAAATATCCCCCTACCTACAGCCCACCAGGAACTTCAAAAACGGCTGAAGTCACCCTTTTTAAAGGTGCCAAACTATGAGCTCTTGGTCTCTTTGGGGGAAATGGTGAATGTGAACGGAAATTTAAATGTGATTTTAGGTGTGATGGAACTAAACAGAGAATTGGTAAAAGCATTTACTGTGATTTTTTTCCCCTCCTCACTACAGAAAGAACTCCTTTGTCAGCAGATGGGACTGTCTTCTTCTATCTCCCAGGATGCCTTTGAAAACGCTGTGTTCGACTGCATCGGACAGGATGATTTCAGGATGGACACCCTGAGATGGTGAGAACAGGGCTGGGTGAGACAGTCTGTTATGAACAATTTTTTAAATTTTAGTTGATTGCAATTAGTGATCATTTTTAAATTACCTATTTGTTTTTTGTTTTTGTTTTGTTTGTTTAATCTTACCACTTTACTTTAACTATTTTAGCTTATTTATCAAGGTATTCAGATAATAATTTTAATGTTAACACAACTTTGAAAAACACATAAAAAAGCAAATTACACAGTGAAATCAAAAAGGAATGAAGGAAGGAATGAAAATTTTAAATAAAAAAACGCAATAAAACGCTGAGGAGCATGGCGGACGGCCAGGGTGAAGCTGCTGCACTGGAGGGAGGTTAAGGTTTAGAGTAGCTGGCCAGCCTGTGCCTGCTGCCCAACATCAAGTTGTCACTTAGATGGAGGTCATGGGGACACAGAGTCGTAGGTGTTTTTAGAATGTGAAGCCAATTTTTTATGTATAAAAATACACGAGAAATGGCCAATATGTCTTGGAGACCTGCATGGCAGTCATAGGACAGTCCATAGTGATGACTTTTAGCTATATTTAGTTGTGTGAAATACTAAACTGTAGATGTGGGTTCATCAAAACAGCCAGTTTTATTTACAGATAACTGACAGGAAGTAATCAGTCAGCCAGTTCAGCCAGGGCTACTGCACCAGGTAGTTGCAGTCAAGTGCAGCAGAAAAGACAGTGTGCAGCTAATGAAGTTGTTAATAGTTATTAATTTTTTTTTTTTTGCCATATGTCTGTGGCATAATACCTTTTATTTGGTAAAACAAATGCCACAAAGTTCATTCCTGATCTCTTCTTAGTTTTGACCAAATATGTAGTTCATAAGTTTTGCACAGCAGAATAGTTTTTCTTTTCTTATTTTATGGCCAGAAAGTGATTTTCAAAAGTCATAAACATAAGAAGCTACCCTAAAGCAAATTGTGTTAAGCAGCTATTAATGTTGTGCAAAGAAACGGTCCAAATCCTGCACAGTACCCCTATAAACTGCTTCTTTTGATGTCTATTTTTCTGTGCTGCTCGGCTGTGAGCAAATGAGGTAGAAGTAAGCGTTGGTGCTGTAACAGCACGCTGAGAGCAAGGCTGAGGCTGCTCCTCTTCTGCACACTTTTCACTTCCCTCCCTAACGAGGATGCCTGAAGTGGTGTAGCGTGCACAATCTTCAATTTAAATTAACTTTTCCAAGGGTCTCTTCAGACCAAGGCTTCGTGCCGTCATTGTTCCGCTGCTGCTGGCGGTGAAGGGAAGAGGGCCACGCTGGCATTGAAATGTAAATTCCTCTGACGGTAAAAGTGAACTGTTGGAAACATTCCATCTGTGTCGTTCAAGGGAAAAACCAATGCACTCGCAGCTCAAATTGAATGACTTGTTGTTCATTTATTCAATTCACCAGCAAAGCAGCCACAAAAAGCAACTGCTCATCTCTTTAGATTTAGCCAAGGACATGTGGGCCGCCACCGCAGCGCTGCTGGGGTATTGCAGCAGAGTAATTTTCTTTGAAGCTTTTAATATGGCTTTGTAAAGGTTATTTTATTGTGAAGAAAATGTCTTGTTTTTTGTTTCTTTGCAGGTTTGGGATGCTGAGCGATGAGTCAGTGCCTCACGCAGACAGCGTTCTGGCTGCTCTTACGAAGCATTTGGAAGCCAAACTCTCCTTTGGTGAGTTTATCTTTACCACAGAACACAAGCTCTAAATGTAATACTGGTACATCAGCTGATCACTTCTGTCCTGCATTCAGATAAGGGCGAGCGGGACATGATCGTCATGAGAAACGACGTGGGGCTTCGCCACCCAACTGGCGAGCTGGAGACCAAACACATCAGCCTGGTGGTGTACGGTGACCCCAGTGGCTTCTCCGCCATGGCCAAGACTGTAGGATACCCAGCAGCCATTGCCGCTCGCATGGTCCTTAATGGTCAGTGACATCACTCCGTTTTTTTCAGTCCTTTCTCAATAAACCAACTTGAGACTTGCACACTTAGTCCAGTCTAGAGCTTAAACCTGTGAGGACAGCACGACACAATCTGATCAGTTAGGAGAGGAGTTTTCTTACAGTCACCCCCAGCTCTGATTGTTACATGTCAAACTGTAATTGAATGTACCATTAAAAGATAATCCAGGCTCAAAACTTTGATTAAAACCACACTGCTCGTTTTTATTTAAATGTCATTTTTGAATTGTGCTCATATCTGTCTACAGAGAGAGTGCTGTTTTTAAACTGTTCAATAAATACATGAAGATTAGTTTACCTTAATAAACTAATGTGGTACCAACAAATATTGTATTTGGTTTAATTTTGTCAGGAAATACGACAACTAAAAAAGTATTTGCTGATGGCCTGTTTTTCACATTAAAAATGACTAAAGCGATATAACAAATATTTTTTTAAGTATCAAAACAAGAACTATGAAAAAATGAATTAGGCTCTGCTCATCTTTCTGTGACATCACGGTGGTCTTTATACTAGTCCTGACCTAGCAACAGTTTAGATGGACACACACCTATCATGTGTGAAGCGATTTATGGAAGACTTTTTCTATGTTTTAGACCAGGGGTGCCCAATCCTGGTCCTCGAGAGCCCCTATCCAGCATGTTCTAGATGTTTCTCTCTTCCAACACACCTGATTCAAATGATCAGCTCATCATCAAGCTCTGCAGAAGCCTGATAACGATCCTGGTCATTTGAATCAAGTGTGTTGGAAGAGGGAAACATCTAAAGCATGCTGGATAGGGGCTCTCAAAGACCAGGATTGGGCACCCCTGTTTTAGACCAATATTAGTCCCAAAACATCACAGAGCACAAAAGGCAGTTTGCTGTGAAAAACACCTTTGTGATTCTCTTTCGTCAAGTATTTCATATCATATAGTTATTTGGATAGTTTGATAAGCTGCTGTTAGTTTAGATGTAGTCTTTTTTTTTTTTTTTTAATTTGACATTGATATGTATTATTCACCACTTTGTGTACTGTCCAGTATTTGCGTGAGTGCTGTGGTGGGTATGTCTGAATGGAGCCATGAGGAACAATGTAGAAGTGACCTATGTTTGAATGACAGAATTACCTTTAACTTACTGATGAAGCAGCAATGTTACGTATCCCATGTCTTTAAAGGCCCTTGTAGTCCAGTTATCATCTGTAAATCAAGGGAATCTATTGTCGGCTTCTCTTGTTACTCCCTGAAACTTATCACTTCTTACGTCATTTTGTGAAACTAGCATTCACTTCAGCGTAAAGCTAACTTAGCTAGCCCTGTCTGTGAGACTAAAATTAGCTTAACAATCTGCAAAGCTGTGATGCTAATGGTCGCTCGTCCTGTCTGTGGTAACTCCACCAAGTCATCCGCTCACCAGCAGATATAACGCTGAAAATGTGAGCTGATATTATTGAGCAGTAGTTCAAACCAAAATCTCCCTATTTTCTGTTTGTAGGTGAAATCAGCACCAAAGGTCTGGTGGTTCCAATGACGAAGGAGGTGTATGGGCCGGCGTTGGCCCGACTGAAGGAGGAAGGACTTAACTTCATGTCAAAGAGCACGCTACAGGAGTAGAGCGAAACCTTTAAACACAGAAGAAAACTTGTTATGAATCTGGTCCAAAAACTCCAGAAAAAGTATTTTAAATCCTCACACTGTTACCTGCTTTTTCACTGACTTTACTTAAACGCTGCAGACAGACTAAGACTCACCTAACTGCTCTTAGTCTGGATTGGTTTAAAATATTTTTACCTCACCTTCAACACTAAAAAAATGTTCATACCTTTTTACTAATACATGTGAATATTGAGAAAGGCAAGATGGGAAAAAGGGAAGAAACTAAATACATCAAGTATTTGACTCTCCAAAAGTTACTTAGTTTATTATTGAAATGAAACTTTATGCTTTGTGAACATGTTTTAAAGTTGGTTGTGCATCAAAACTCTAACGTTCAGTAATCTGCAGTTTAACAACAGCATCCTAATTTTAGTTTTAATCCTCTCATCTGTGCCGAACTGAAATCAGTACTCCACTGGTGTTGACTGGGAGGAAAGTTCTTCTGTGAAGATGTGTAGAATATGGACTGATCTAACATTATTGAGGCATTACAGATTAAAAGCTTTAAGTAGAGATATTGTCTCAAGAATCAGGTAGAGCCACTGTAGAAAGCTGGTCTGACTGAACACACTATTGTACATTTTGTCACCTCACTTGAAAACCACATCAACCAAGTGTCACCGGTGACAAGCAAAACGTTCTCACAGGTGAAATGTTCAGAGTAAATCAGAACTAGTAAACCTGCAAAAAGTTTTTCCTGTCAGCTAATATTAGTTGAAACTTTCAGACTGAAGCAATGGCTGCATCACTACTTCTTAGTTTTACTGCTAGTTTCTTCTGGTGGTCATTTGCAGTCCAAGAAGCAATTTCCCATAAACCACTATTTTAAGAGAGATGTTTGTAAAACAGGACACCTCCATGTTTAACCAAAGTTGGTTATTACTCTATGAGGAATTTTTAATCAGTGTAAGTTTCATATCCGGAGAGTGAGTTTTATTTTATACGGGACATCCCAACCATTGGGGTGAATTACAAGGCGTAACCCAGCAGCAGTTTGTCAGCATTGCCAACCACTGTGCGTAGCTCCTGATGTCTATAACGCCACTTTCATACATAATTACATTTGCATGCTCTAGAATGAGGTGTAGTTTACTTTTTGAGCTAAATTGGCATGGTTACTATGAAACGCTAAGCAAGTGTACCTTGAGATGACACTAGACCCCATCTTATCGCATTATATTCATGTAAAAACAAGATGCTGTGAATTTTATATGCTTAACACAAATGGATCTTGTTCGATACAATTCAGAAAATATACAATTAAAATAAAAATGACAATCTTCTATAGACCAGAGGTAATAAGATTGGAAAGATCTTGGAGTAAAATCTAAAAAAAAATCAGAAACTATGTACGGAAGCGACCGCTCTCGGCTTTCGTAACTATGAGCGTTCTGTCTGACACATATTTATTTGCCCACATTCTTTGAAACATTACTGCTAACCACACCTTCCAACGGATGTTTAACTGAGAGCTAGATGACTATTTATTATCTGCCACCACAGTATTTATTTTATGTTCAGGTGGGATGTGGTTACCATGTAAACGGTTATAAATGAGCTAAAAGCAAATACCAAGAAAGTTATTTTACACGTGCCTGAGATCTATATTTTTGCAATAATATACCCGTATGTATTCCTTGCACATATGTCTATGTAGGCCTCCGCAGAGTTTGAAACGGCAGCGTTTTGTGTGTTTGATATGTTTAGATTTGTAGGTTTGAATCTGAAAGACTGCAGTGTGTTCCAGTCCGGTTTAAAGGAAACGATTCACATCAAAGCTAACAAACGTCTAATCAGATGTCTGAGTCAGTCTGAGTATTCATTGATTTACCTCCTTCCACATGAACACAGTGTTTATTCTCGTTGTCTTTCTGATTTCTAATGTTTGTGGTGTTGATTTAAAAAAGAACATTCATTTGTAACAAGATTGTTTTCATCGAATGTTTTTGCTTTGTAAAAAGCTTGTGTGTTCCATAAATACAAATCATTCTGTTAAGTTTATTTTGTCTCTTTTGTCATTTTAAGACATCCATCCATCCATC